TTTTTCTATCGTTCCAGTTCCACTTGAACCTGAACTCGTTCGGCTCTGCGGTCCGCGGATGTCTTGCTCTGAGTTGCATCAGACCCCTCAGTGATAGGCACGGTATTCCACGGCTTATGGCTGTCTGCAAACCTCAGCAGCGGCACCCTCTAACTCCTTAAACAAACCTTCTACCTCAATGGCAAACTGTAATGGTCCTACTACCGAATCCCGCGGAACGCCACTAAGAAAAGTTTGTCTCATTTACACAAGCTGTGCAGGCTTTCGTACAGAGCAGCATGCAATTTGCGAAAATCCGTCGCACAAGGCGGTGGGGAACGTAGCCAGTTTTCCTCCATCTAATCACCCGGAGGTAATTCTGCCTAGAATTGGACAAAGTCCAAATATTCGGCGAGCGACTCTATGGGAATGACATCCGTGTCTTGGACAAGTTCTTGGAATAATCTGTCTTATATTCGATGCCCACAAATCGGGACAAATACTCTGCTGTCCGAATCGGAACTGCTTATCCTCCCACAAGACATGCCGTTGATTTAAGTAAAGTCCCTGTTGTCACTCAAGTTGATTTGGTTGTTGTTCACTTATGAACTGTTTATTCTGGTTATACTTACAAGTTTGCTTATAGGGGGTTCCGTATGATTTGGTTTATTCTCCTCCTCCGATGTCTTAATGACGGATAAATATATAAATAAATAAATAAATAGTTTATTCTCAGTTTCATGGAGACACACCAACGCAGGCATGATCAAGGTTTAAAAACAGATGTGTATCACGACGATACATCTGGTTCCATCGTGTGTAGTTGAAACAGTGTCGGGAAGAGGTAATATGTGAGTCCAGTTGACTTGCCAGTATATAGTTGTGGGCAGTGACTTTATTCAGTGGCGAGTCACATCCGCCACGTCGCAGTGTTGTTAAACAGATATTTGTGGCTTTTTATAGGGAGAACGCTTGCTAGGCGATAACCCACCACGTCCTGCAACACTGCCGTAAAACATTTTGAACAATAATGTTGAACTGGCAAAGCCGCTTGACGACTGGTTTTACCTTCGGTTTTTCGCAGAGTAATGGCTTCCAATTTCCTCTGCTAGTTGGGCAGGTAATTTGATTGCGGCCGCCATTATTTTTGAGGTCGGTGGAGGAGAGGGACGTCGTGATTATTCTCGACCTTATTTGTATTCTGTCTACACTTATCCACCATGTCTTATCCTAAACAAAATTAACTTGGAGAGGGTTGTACGAATGAGTGCTAGTCTTTTCAGTTCATTGGAATTTAGAGAGCAAAAAAGATATACGTTGTCATCTCCATTACTGCCAACTCAGTGTAAAGATGATCCAAGTCCTTGCGGTACAGCCTTCCACCAATAACCACTACATTAAAAATGGACACATCAAGATCCATGCTTGCCCAGCAACAGATTGCTAACAATCACTTAAAACATCCTTATGTTCGTGCGCCAACAAATAATTTATTTAGCCTACTGCAGTCATGTATCACGAGTGGACGAAGTGGCATCGGAACGAACTAGAATCCTACTCGATCCAAACTGCTTCCAACAGTGTCCCCGTGTCGAACTATCCACACAAAACTGAAAGAAACCCGGCAACTCATTTCTTATCCCACCTGCTAGCACACATCCGGTGTAACTCAAGTCAGTACGATGACAACAAAATTCCAGTCGAAAGAAGTTCATCCTTCGAAGTCACCAAGAATAAAGCAAGTTCCGGATTGTTGGGACGGATTTCGATCCCTATCGCTCAACATTTCCTATTAAGACCCGTTTGGCCTTTGTGAGAGAATAAGACGATGGCATTTCGTACTCATTAATCGGACGTACATAAAAACTGCTCCGCTGCCTTGCGAGTCAGGTCTCTAAGACCAATGCTGGGCGTGGGGTCCCTTAAGTCAATCCTCTCCCTCGGCCTGGGCAACCGGGAAGCTCTCTGCCCACACAACAAATGGATCATCGCATCCCTTCCCCTTACACTCTTCTTGCTTTTTGTTGTTGCTACTTATGTGTTACGGCGCTACCAAATCTTTATTGTTCTTATTATTCCGAAGAACGCCCTATTTGCAGCTGCAGCCTTTCTCAATGGGTCCTACGTTGTGCATAGGTTTGAGGAAACAGACACTCCAAGATCCTCACAGGCCACCTTGCTGAGCAGATACTCGCGGATGCGTTAGGCACCAAAAGATCAAGGGCGCTGTTTTGGGAGGACAGTACACATATCGTAGGCATTTTCAACATTGGACACCTCCAGCTGCAGCTTTAGATCAGCATATACCAGGCGATCAGTTTAAAGCTCTGATGTAGGATCGTTGAGGACGACTTTAAAGAGCTCAGAATCAAGGACAGCTCCGTAGGGCATCGTTGATTATAAAAGCAGGCACAGACTGTAGTATAACAGATACACACCAGCGAGTGAAGTATCAAGCTTTGGAGAACCAGGCTTTATTCATCTGTGAATAGAAACGAAAGGTAAGTATAACTGACGGGAGGGGTTGATGGCAACGACGGATATGACTCGGGGAATAATATGTGATATCCCACTGCTATAGTAAACAAAGGCAGTCTTGTGACGGGAGCCGTGTATGGTAACAACATTATTGTAGCTATGTACTTAGTGCGTAGTAATGTTTCACGAAAGAGATAACATAGACACGCGTTGTTAAAGTGCCCCAATTCTGCTCAAGGACAACGTTTCCGTAAACTTTGGCTGTGCGTGGTCCGGAAACATCACGTTCGTCGTATACGCAGATATGGTTCCCCTCTCCGGATACGATTGTTTCTTTTGAACCGACATTAATCTTATCGTCATGCTGGAGCAAGTGTTCGCCCATGGGTGTCCATTGTCCGATTAAGACGGTCTCCTCCCTCTCGTACAAAAATCGGACGTGTGCATTGGAGAGTACACTATTAGTGACACTTGTTTCACAGGTGGCTCTAACTTGGAGGGCCGGATGTTCTTTCTCAACAGGACACGATCAGGCGATAACAACCGAGTAAGTTAGAAAGAGCGTTTGCGCGGTGTTACCTTTATTGTAGTGCACCGAAGCAATTGAATCGGATGCACTGCATCGAGTCGGACGATGTCCAATTGATCAACGGGGGATTATGGAAGCGTAAGACAAGAACCGACCCTTCACAATGTTCCATTAAAGTGCTTGACATGCCCATTGGTTAGTGCATGGCGTGCAGCTGGTCGGGTTGTTGCTATTCTTCTGTTATAAAGTCATGCACTTTACGCAAACTAAAAGAGGAACCTTTGCCTAAAGGAAAGTACGCTTGCATGCCGGGCAAAAACTGACAAAAGCAGCCTATCACAGAGGAAGAACTCAAGTCGGAGCATGCAAAAGTGAGTAGAGAACGAGCAAACTCATCCACAGTAATTAGAGGCTTCGAGATTTCGAGAGAACGGAGCCTTTATAATCAACCTTGAGGCGTTCAAACGGCTGAGTCGCATTTACCAGCCGGCCAGAAAGGCATTGAAAAATACATCGGTTCCTTCAAGACCACGGTTTCGTCCTGTTGGGACTCAACAGTTGGAGATAGCCTGAGTTGGGCTGGAACTCAGAGCAACATTATAATTTTCATTTTACTTACGGTCTTTTTGATCGGAATGACCGAGGTCTCAATAGAGGTTGCTTGTAGCAACCCAACCGCCAGCAGATTCTCCAAATTTAACTTTACTTCGGTTCCTGTTCGCGACACAAAATGGTGGATTCGATTACACTCACAGAAAAGAGCGGATTTTCGGCGCAAACGAAAGGAACCATGGGCATTATGCCCTGGTGATATAATGAGGTTTTGGGTTCGGACTGCCAAAGGAGATCTTGCTACAGGTAGGTGAGAATATGTGTAACGTCGTAATGAAAGGCCACAAGTTCAGACCTCCAGCGCTATATTTTAATGTTTAATTTTCTCCTCTTTCATAGCGTTGTACTTGAAAGCCACATAGCGTTGATCTGTGAACAGCAGTAACCGCCTCCATTTTCGCACTACCTCAGCGACCACACAGGCTTCTCCTTCTTCGGAGGCATGACGCTTCTCAATGGAAGGTAATCTGCGCGAAAAGAAAATTATCGGCTTTTCGTTTAAGGTAGCTGAGATAAATGCCTCAGAGGCATCAGTTTCAACAACTAACCGTACGAGGATCGGCAAAGGCAAGCACGACACTCTGCACTTTCTCATTTCAATCCTCAAAATACGTTTGGACAGGTATCATAGGAACTTCTGTGTTTTGAATGTGTGAGCCAGCTTTGTCAGAGTAGTGCGCTATCCACTGAGAGTAGTAAGCAAAATCCCTGTCCCTCTCAGTTGAGTTTTGATGTCGGTGGGAAGAGACAATCATTGCACTTTAGAGGGAATTATCTCCGTCGATCATCGCCGAGCCCAATTAACCCTTTCGCACTTTCATATTCAAGAAGTTTGATCTGCTAGTGTTTGCGTACGTTTTTTGTGTTATTGAAGTGATGTCATACTTTGAAGTCCCGTTCAGAAAGCGCCCTAAATTCTGTTGAGGTTCAATAGGGTCTTTTTCACAGACCGCGACGTTGTCTGTGTAGGTAAATGTATCGATCAATTTCTGTAAGATTGTCAGTAGTTCGCTGAAACCAAGTGACGTCATTGGTTACTCCGAAAGGTATACAACGGAATTGATAAAGTTTGACTTGTACGGTTTGATAGGGACTTGTTGCTAAGCACTCTTTAAATCAAAGGTACTGAACGTTACAGGTGTGGCAATCTGTACCATTTCTTCCAGTTTAGACAGATAAGTAACTCAGTTTATTGTTTGTACTCGATGAGCCTCAATCGTTCGTTGGTACTGATCATTACCTGTGCTCTCCATATTAAAAATGATGGCTTGCTTATGCTTTCCTGTAGGAGACGGGTATTTCGTTGTGAAGGAAAACACTGTCCCAGAGACTGTATCGTCCGGACTTCGTCGCTACGAGTTTGCACTCGGTGCGCGGTTACGGAAGAAAGCTGGGGCTTTACCCCGTTAGTGCCAGTGAGCCTGCAAACACAGTGGAGGTTTCTTGCCATCGAGTGGAATCTCCTATTTTCATTGTAGTTGAAGGAGATCGTGTCCGAGAAGAACATTCGAGCACAGATTATTTGCTGTTGTAGTCGACATCTCCTTTCTGTATAACTGTCGTTGCAGTACCCACCGGTACACATCAGCAGTTGGGTTGAAGCTACGGATACGCACCTGATGGAAATTAATCCTCCATGTCACATTTTTTGCAACAATGGCAGAGACGTAACTTACAGAGCTGCCGTTATCATTCAGTGCTTCCAGTCCAGAAGCATTTATATGTATCCTGCTGCTGTCCCGCGTTAGGCAACTAGCAGTTCTTAAATGAGAACTTAGCGATGTTGCATGATGACTTGGATGCATTAGACAAACTTTCCTGAAATGTGCCTTTCTCCCAAAATTCCTGCACACTGCTTCCTCAGACGGACCCTGCCCCGTGCCTGTCTAGTAAAATTGCAAAGCTGACAATTCATTAGATACAACAACGACATATGTTGATAGTGGGGGTGTAGGCAAAGGTGGAGGTTTGGAAGTTTCGGAAGGGGACTCGGATCCGTTGGAAACTGCTGTACACGATGGGAGAATTACGGCGTTTTGGTAAGAGGATGAGTGTTGGTGTGCCATGTTTAGAGACCTCGCTAAATCCAATTCAGTTTGAATATTTAATTTGCAGTGTTACGGCACTCGTCGCATCTAAGGAGAAATTATCCTCGTGCTGAAGGCACTGCAAATGCATCATCAAGATTTTGCTCCGCGCCGACTGCCTCGAAGTTGCAGTCTTTAGCAAAGATTTTGAGACTGAATTAATTAGACCGTCAGACCCATTTTCTTGTTTACACGTAGCTAAATGTGGCGAACGAAAATCTCATTTTGTACCTTCCACTATCTTAACAGCTTCGCAAAAGTCTGTGCTCTTAGCATCATCACCAACAGCACTACCTCAGCTATTTGCACTGACGCTTCCTTTTTATACAACCATAAAGATCTACGGAACGACGAATAAGAGAGAAGGGGGACTTACCGGAAAACTTAGTGCTCTGAGCAAACATTCGGGGTCAAGGCGCCTACACCTTGTCAACAACATGTCATCACAACCAGCCGGTTATCGTTGGAAGATAAGGCGGCGTAAGCGAAACAGGTTCCTAGTAGCATTCACTACCACGCGTAGTAATCAGGCATTGTTCCGTAGGTAACTAAACACCAAACAGTCTGACTAGGAGACAGCAGAAGACGCGCCACTGGTGCTGACTGCGAGCCATATCTCTTTAACTTACGAGCTAAGTAAAAAGCGAATCACGTTGACTCCAACCTCGAAGGCGATACGGTCCGACGGCGCCGAATTTAGTCGTCAGTGACTTAATTTCCCACTGCCAAGTCAACTGTTGTCTACCTCGAGCCTTGCTCTACCCTACATTTGGCAGAGAACATAAGGCCCTTCACGGTAAGCCCTGCCCGGGCATACGCAGTACCTGCCCAAGCCAAAACAATAAATAAATAAATAAATATTTTATTCTCGACAAAGCGAGACACGCCTTTTGGGCATGCTCAGCATATTGCATTATTGTACATGATAGCGGAATAAGCAGCACCAACAGTGGGAGTAGTAAAGTTGGAGACAGTAGTGTGGGTCCATAGAGCCCAAAGGTTGTATGTAGTCTATGTACACAGAATGCGAGAGGTAACAATAGTGATCAGATCACTTATATGGTGTGTTGATGAGGAACTAGTCCGATGAGGTCCCGTAAGCAATGTAGGTCAGTGAGTGAAGTATGAGGAAACGGGTGGAAAATACTTAAGAATAATGGTACGTCACTAGTCGGATATGTAGGCGTGTTCGTGCGAGGGCCGATATATGCACAGAACTTGTAAATGTGGTGTCAATCAACTTGCCAATGTGTTAGGGGCGGTGACTGTATTGAGTGGCGAGTCACATCCGCCACGTCGCATTGTTGTTAAACAGACATTTGTGGCTTTTTGTAGGGAAAACGCTTGCCAGACGAAGACCCACCACGTCCTGGAACACTGCCGGCTGTTGATATACATTGGCAAGATGGTATCTGACCGATTACCCTCGCAGCTATTCGCAGTCACGTAACGCCAATTTGTTTCCTATGACTGTGTAGTCGCCTTCGGAGTCCAGTACAAGTGGTTGGGGCTGTTGAAGTCGGACGACTCAGGTGACTTGTAATGAATTGACCAGTTTTCTAGGTTCTTTAGTGTGTCATGATTATGAAGTGCGGGTTTTTCTTTGTTCTTTATTGAATCCGTGTCCTTGGGAGCGTCGCAGGTACGGCTTCAGCGGTGTTCGGTGCAGGTAATGTTATCCTGTAGAACAAGGGTGAGAAGAAAAACGGACCGAGCAAACTGCCAACAAAATTGAACAGGACTATGTTATTGTATAAATATAAAATTTATGGTAAAGATGTGCTGGCTGAAATCAATGGAGTGACCGAAGAGCTGAGGCTAGTGGTACCTATACCGCCAATGAATAGTTGCGATATGAGCGAAGAAAGACGCCAAACAAGAGAGGAAGACGTTATTGTGAGCTGAGATGCATGATATTGAGCCGAGAGGCAAAAGTCATGCAGAGACCGGAAATTCGGATTTCGGTAGGCGTTACCAAGCATAGAGATAATGATTCAGACAAAGAAGAGTATCATAAGGTTGTAACTTATACGAATGAGAACTTGAGTCGATGGCAGCCGGTGCTCAAAATAAGAGAGGCCTTGGCTTGAGACCTGTGGGCATTTGGAGCCTCAGAGGACTGGCTTGGCCAAAATGTTTTGGGATGAGACGCACAGAAGTAATGGTAACCAAAAGAGACCTGGGATGTTGCGCTGACGCCTGTGATACCTATACCGCCATTGGACTGTTGCGATATAGACCAGAAGAGAGGCAAAACACGAGAGGGGACGTAATTGTGTGCTGAGAAGCATGAGAATGGAGCCGAGAGGCAAAACTCAACCAGGGACCTGAGATTGCAAATTCGGTAGAAGGACAAAGCATGCAGGTAATGTACCAGACGGAGGCGAGTACATGAGGCAGTTAATTACACCAATGAAAAATTTAATCGGTGGCAGCCAATCCTCAAAAGAAGAGAGGCCTTGGTTTGATGCCAATGGGCATTTAGGGACTGAGAGGCTGGAGTAGTCGAAGAGGTTTAAAACTGAGTACCACAGTAGCAAAGGGAATCAAAGGAAGCTTACGATGATGCGCTGACGCTAGTGATAACTATATCGCCATTGAACCGATGCGATATGGATCAAAAGTGAAACCAAACAAGATAAGGGAACGTAATTGTGAGCTGAGATTCATGATGGTGGAGCCGAAAGGCAAAAGTCAATCAGAGACCTGAAATTGCAAATTTGACGGGGACCAAGCATACAGGTAATGAGCTAGTATCGTGAGGCAGATTCTTATGCCAATGAGAACTGTAATCGATGCTCAAAGGAAGAGAAGCCATTGTTTAAGACCTATAGGCATTTGGAGCCGGAGGCCGGTGCGGTCCAGGAGGTTTTAGAGTGTGTGGCGCAGTAGGAAACTGGATCAAATGTAACCTAGTATGTTGTGCTGACGCTATGGGAACCTAAACCACCATTGAACCGATGCGGTATGGACCTGAAAAGAGGCCAAACAAGAGAGGGGGACGTAATTGTGATCTGAGAAGCATGAGAGTGGAGCCGAGAGGCAAAATTCAACCAGGGACCTGAAATTTCAATTTCGGTAGAAGGACAAAGCATGCAGGTAATGTACCAGACGGAGGCGAGTACATGAGGCAGTTACTTATACAAATGAGAACATTTGCCGCCGGCAGCCGAAGAGCGACTGAGAGAGGCCTTGTTTTGAGACCGATGGGTATTAGGAGCCTGAGAGACCGGACAAGTCCAGCAGGTCTAATAATGAGTGTAACCGTAGCAAAGAGAGTCAAGCGGGGGCTGGTAAGTTGCGCTGGCGTTAGAGGTACCTATACCGTCACTGCACCGATGCGATATGGACCAAAAGAGAGGCCAAACAAGAGAGGGAGACGATACTTGTGAGCTGAGAAGAATGATAGTGGAGCCGAGAGGCAAGGTTAATCTAGGACATGATCTTTCGATTTAGGTAGAGGAATCAATCGTACAGATAATGAATCGGACGGAGACGAGAATCATGATGCGGTTACTTATACCGTTGACAACCTTAATCGATGGCAGCCGATCCTCAGAGGAAATGAGGCCTTGGCTTGAGACCTATAGTCACTTGGAGCCTGAGAGGCCGGAGTAGTCCAATGGGTTTAACGACGATTGCCGTAGTATCAAAGGGAATCACACGGGTGCTAGTAAGTTGCGTTGACGTTACAGGCACCTACACCGCCATGGAACCAATGCGATATGGACCAAAAGAGAGGCCAAACAAGATAGGGAAACGTAATTGTGAGCTGCGATTCTTGATGGTGGAGCCGAGAGGCAAAAGTCAATCAGAGACCCGAAATTGCAATTTGCAGGGGTCCAAGCATATTATAATGTATCAGACGGAGGAGAGTACATGAGGCTTTTTTATGCCAATGCAAACTTTAATCGACGTTGAAAGGAAGAGAAGCCTTGGTTTGAGCCCCATAGGCATTTGGAGCCTGAGAGGCCGGACTAGTCCAAAAGGTTTAGGAGTGAGAGCCACAGTAGCAAGAACATAAAGCGACGTCTGGGATTAGGCATGCAGATAATAAATCAGGCGGAGACGAAAAGCATGAGGCCTTTACCTATACCTTTAAGAACCTTAATTGATGGCAGCTGATCCTCAGAGAAAAAGAGGCCTTGGCTTGTGACCTATAGGCATTTGGAGCCTGAGAGGCCGGAGTAGTCCAATGGGTTTAACGATGAGTGCCATAGTCGCAAAGAGAATCACAAGGGAGCTAGTAAGTTGCGTTGACGTTAGAGGCACCTATACCACCATTGAACCGATGCGATATGGACCAAAAGAGAGGCCAAACAAGATAGGGGAACGTAATAAATAAATATATAAATACTTTATTCTCGACAATGCGAGGCACGCCCA